AAGAAGAAGAAGAAGATGTGTGTGTGTTGACAGATGTGATGAAAATGTGACGTCATGTGAGTGTGGACGGATGAGTGTAACCGACTGACAAAGCAGAACAAAGTGCAAAGTCTCCCTTGAGGATAAAAGGAATGTGAAAAGTGTGTGTGTGTGTGTGTTGCTGACCTGTGCCGGTGCAGGAGTTTGAAGCTCTCGGGGCTCATCGGGCTGTGAGAGGCCAGGATCCCTCTGGGGGTGTTGGCTCCTGAACCAACCTTGTCTAAACCAGGCAGACCCTGCAACGCCACATAGAAACACTGCTCTGAATATTCACACTGCCCTCACATATGTGCACACACACCACATGGACAAACTCAAGTCAGCAATGACTGTTTTCATTATCAATTCATCTGTCTGCCATTTTCTCCATTCATTTATTAGTCGATTTATTATAGTTTGGTTCATAAAATGGTGGTAAATGTGTAAAAATGTTGATCAGTGTTTCCTAAAGCCCAAGGTGACGTCCTCAAATGTCTTTGTCTTGTTTTGTCCACAACCCAAATATATTCAGTTTACTGTCATAGAGGACTAAAGAAAAAATAGTCTATTTGGGAAGCTAAAATCTGAGAATTCTGACATGCTTTCTTACAAAATTACTCAAAACAATTATTGATAAGCAAAGAAGTTGGCAATGAATTTACTAATCAATTAACCATTTAATAATTGCAGCTCTCAACACATCCACATACAGTATTGTTGGAATAACCACTTAAAGTTGCTGTATGTTGCGTTGTTGAGTTTTAATGTCCCAATAAGTTAAAAGGTGAAAAGTTGAGATTGTTAGCAGAGACCCACTTATCTGAGCTAGAAGCATGATAACATTCTCTTTGAAGAAGCTGCTAATTAGCTTTGTGATGATGATCCAACCTTCCAGCATGTTTACAATAGAACAAACCCTCTTCCAGGCACAACATTGGTTAATCATATTTAGGCTCATGAAGAGCAGAATTATTCTGGAGCAACATGTGTGCGTACGGTATGTTTTTCTCATTATTTATAAGGTTGTAATATAATAAAGTGAAATGCTTTTGGTGTGAATGTTTCTGGGCACTAACATGGCAGAGGCTGCTCCTCATCATCTGGAACTGATCTATCAGTTTCTTGTGCAGGGGACGCATTTCTGGGTGGACCAGTTTCTCGTGCACGGCCAGGCCAACTCCGAGGACGTGAACCTGCGGGAGAATAATAAAACATCATCAGATGAGATTTCTATCGTGCAGAGAGAGTGGCAGTTACCTCTTTTATAAGTCCCTGAGCTTTCTGAAAAATCTCTCCTGTTCTTCCGTTTTGAGCCTGCAGACGAACGTCACTGTAGATATTTTTTAAAGCATTAATTATAAATCTTTGTTCTGACTTTTAATATAAAAAAATCAGAGCAAATACAGAATCAAAATCCAATGAGTAGATGATAAGTAATTTGTTCTGCACGTTCATGCTTCCATGAGAGTGAACCATTGTATTTGAACTTATGCAATTCATAATGCAAATAGTCGATTATTCGTTTCAAAGTAGCAGTTCTAGTGCCAGTCAGACTAAATAAAGGCACACGTAGAGCATGTAGTTCAGTATGTTGAACCAACAATGTCATTTCTCACCTGCTCCTGCATCAGGTCTTTGAGCTGAGTGATCTTCTCTGTGTCTTCAGGGTGGCTGGTGATATACTCCTTATCAAAGAAAGCCTAGTGATAAAGAAGAAAAAAAATTGTCGTCACCAAATTACTTAACAACTAACTGTCATGCATCATTAATATTGGGGTAAGGACATGAAACAAAAACATCTTGCTCATCAAAACAGATATTAACTCAGTACCAGTGTTGTGTGTTTTAAACTGTACAAGACAAAGTGGATTTACCCGAACTCAGACATTTACCCAGCACTTCCCCACTGATGCTATTAGTGGTTAAGATGATTAGAAAATCATGACTGACATGAGGTTGCTGTTGGACTGTTTGTGACACAGAAGCT